CCTGTAATCCCAGCACTTGGGAGGCTGAGGCAGAAGGATTGCTAGGAGTTCAAGGCCAGCCTGAGCTCAAATGAGACCCTGTCTCAAAAAAAAGTAATAATAATAATAATAATAATAATAATTTTAGTTGATATGGGGAAATGTTTACACTAGAATGCTAAGTGAATAAAATGGGATATAAAGCCATATATAGATAGATTCTCTCAATATGTAAAAATAATATCACCATATGTGTGTGTGTGTGTGTCTGGAAAATTTTTCTGGAACACCAAAATGTTAACACTAGTTCTCTGTAGGTGGTACAAATACAGATGATTTTACCATCTTTTTTCTTTCCTACATTTCTCACAAAACGAACTGTTTTTATGCTCCAAAACAAAAATGAAATGTCAGGGTGCCGCCCCTACAGCTGGCTCCACCCCAGGCCCCCTGGGAAGAAGAGGTCCTCCAGAAGACACTAGGCCATTCCCCCACTTCCAAGCAATCAACACGTGAGTAGTTAGTTTGCCCCTTGGGCACTCAGAGCCTCCTGGCACCCATCCCAACTCCGGAGGGTCAGCTTTCACCCCTAAAACCAACCCAAGGCCTCCGCAGTGACAGCCCAGAACTCCTTGGCATAACCCTCCTGGAGGCCGTCCCACTGCAAACAAAGAAACAGCTTTTTCCATCACAAAGCAACTCTGTGCCTAGCACTGTTGACTGACAGGTTGAAGCTACAGTTTTCTTTTCTGCTCATTCCCACTATTCTGGTTTCCATTTCTACTTCAGCCTTTCACATCAGAGGCAGAGGAGCAAGAGTCTGGGTTGGGAGGAGGAAAGAGCTCCCAGCCAAGTGACCTTGAGCAAGCTCATAGCCTCCCTGGACCTCAGCCCAAAAGTGTGAGGGGCTGGGCTCCAAGCCTCCTCCTGCCGCTTTGAGCCCTATGACTAATGCATCCTTGGACACAGGATGGAAGACACTTCCCTCTCCTGGACTCAGACAGACTCAGCTGTTCTGGGAGCCGGAGACCTCCAACACCTGCTGAGTTACGCCGGTACATGAGACACTCTAGTCGTTGAGAAAAGCCCAGGGTGCCAGGATCAGGAGGACTAACTTGGTGCCTGAAAGCAAATATGTCCCAATCTACCAGATTTCCATCCCTGCCCAAGCTGGGCCCAGCATGCGGGCCTCCCCAACTCCCTGCAGGGCTCCTCTGGGTTGGCAGCCCAGTGGGGCAGGCTTCCACCAGCTGCCCACTGGAGTGAAGGTGGGGATGGGGGAGGTGCCATGTGTGCCTGAGCAGTGCACGGAGGCCATTGGCAAAAGTCAGACGAGAAAAATCACCCCACTAACAGCTTTGGGGAAACTTCTACATAAATCTTACAGCTGCTTGGGCTGATGCAAGACATGCTTGGGTTTCCAGATAAGAGGTATGTGGTAGACAGGCCTGGATTCAAACCTGCCTCTGTTCCTGACATGCTTTTTGTCTGGGCAAATAACTGAACTTTCCCAGCCTCAGGTCTCAGTTTATCTAAAGAATCATCTACAGAATGGGCATCCCGATAACCTCTACCACTGAGTGGCTATGAACATTACATGAGATAAAGTATGTGAACAACAGCATGGTGCCTCGCACATAATCACTAGGAGCCAAAAAACACAACACAAATCTTCCCGAGACGCCAAGACAGCCCTGGCAAGAATCAGGATAAGGCAGAACCACAGAAAGTGAGTGCCAAAAGGAACCTCAGTAACCTTGAATCCAACCCCTCCGGTTAACACACGGCAGGAGGGAAAAGGCTCAAAGAGGTTGGCAGACTTGTCCAAGGTTGCACAGCGACATCGTAACAGAGCAAGGCTCAAACGTGGACCTGACTGGCTTCCAAAGACCCAACACCCCTTCACTTCACACCAACCCATCTGGCCATGGGCAGCCCTTGCTTCTCCTCTCTGCAGAAAAGGCTTTGATCAGGGAAACCCCTGGAGGAGCCACCAGAATGCCACAGGATGCCACCAAGAAAGCTCTGGTTGAGAAGGGAAGGGGATGAAAGATGAAGATTTCCTAGAACTAAGAGTAAGGGGCATAGGTATCAATGACCAAACATGAGGAGGTGCCACGCAAATGGCATGCAAACAACATGCAAATGATCACATGAATCAACAACCTGAACTCTTTTTTAAAATTTGTAACTGGATCACACTACATGATGTGAATTTCTTTTTGCTCTTGGGTTTTTGCCAGGTGGAAAGAAATAAAATCTATGGTTGACTGACCAACCCATGGCTCACTCAGTGAAGGCCTGGCTGACTCCTGTGTCCAGAGGCCGAGACATGCCTCACCAACACTTAGTTAGTGTCACCCCTGTGTCACGTGACAAATGGCCCTGTCTGTCCTGACTGGCATGTCAGGGCAGGAAGAGAAAGGTCTCACAGACTTGGTAGCTGCTGATGCTAGCTGAGCAGAGGACAGTAGGACAGGTACACTGTTCCTCCTACAGGGCATAGGGACAGGGACAGACAAGGACCTAGGAGAGCCCAAACCTCTCCAGGAGCGCTGCTTGAGGAGTTAGGCTCCTCCTGGCTCAGGAGGAAGGCTCTTCCCCAGTGGGCAGGGCACTTCTGGGCTCTGCTGGCAAGTGATGCTGAAGGAGCCGCACAGAGCCGGGGGGATAGCAGTGGTCAGGGCCCTGAAGTTGGATGGTGGACAGCAAGAAGGTTAGAGATTAGACACCTGACAGGGTTACTTAAGGTGCACTTACACATGCCTTGGAATCTCAGCCAGTTCAACCACAGTTTACTAAGTGTCTGCCAGGGACATTGTGGACAACTCATGGAAGCAGACAAGATATGGTTGCTGCCCGGGTCACTGCCCTTGAGGCACCAACAAACCATCAGGGGAGGAGACATAGGTACCGACATAACAGTACTTTAAAGTTCCTTGGAAATGTGTTGTGTCTGCATGTGTGTGTGCATGCGTGTGTGTGTGTTGCCATTTAAGAGCATGACTATTTGCAGGAGTGGAAAGGCAGAAGACAGAGCTTGCCTATCCAGTCCTGCTGTAAGCCATGTATTAATAATGATAATGAAACAACCAATATAAACCCAGCACTTATGGCTTGCATATAATATATGAAGCCCAATGCTAAGTGCTTGATATATATTAGTTCATTATATTCTTCCAATAACCCCAGGCAGTTGGCACTATTATTAATGTCCCCTTTTATAGATGAGGAAATTAAAGTTTAAAGAGGTTAAATAGGTAACCTTGCCAAGGTCACAGGGCTAGAAATCCACAGCAAGAAGTCAACCCCAGGCCTGCATTTGACTTTACCCAAGCCCCTGCCTCCGCTCTCAGAAGACAGCTCCCCAAGAGCCCCAGCTCCAAAACAACCACCTGCAGGTCCCATAGACACAGACTCCACCTGCTCCCCCCACGGGGCAAGTAGGGCACATTCTGCAGTCTGTGACCTTTATCACATCATGCCAGGACCTCAGCTAGCCTTGGCACTCACTGAGCAGAGTTTCTTCAGCAGCCTTCTTATTTCTGCACATCCGCTTGCCTTTCCTAATGGGGCCACACTTGGCTATAATGCTCGGGCTCCAAGGCCCAGCCCATCTAATGGGTTGAGACTGGCTTCATCGGATCCACGCAGCCTAGTAACAACCCGGGCCTCATGGCAGCATGAGGGTCCCTTGGTGGCTGAGCTGACAGGACTTCTGGGTTGTGTTCCCTTCTCCCCCAAGCAGTAGTCTACACCCCACCTTTCCTGGCAAACTTTGTGGCTGTCAGAGAGACAGACAGGGCAGAAAGCCTGGCACAGAGGTGCTGGGCACAGGGGATGGGAAAGGAAGGTGAATGGCTGAATTATGCCTCTTCCCCACCGGCTGCAGGAGCACCTCCAAGACTGCTTCCCCTTTACCAGCTTCTGCTTTGCCTCTTTTACAGGATCATGGGAACAGCAGGAAAATCAGCATGGTAAGAACATTGGGAAAGTTCAACATACACAAATGTGACCACAGGAGAACCGTGAGTTCTGCCAATGCAGACCAGAGCCCCATGGCCCAGATACGGAATCTAGGAAGCTACACCAGGCTGGCAGTGCCCGAGATGGCCAGAGCTCCCCACCAGAAAAGAATTTATTGGTGACAAGAATGTAAAGAAAAGGCGAGCACACTCACAAGAGTGTCCCAGCAGGGCCAGTTCCTGGAAGTGTGCCCAGGCACTTGCTGGCACTTGGTGGCACTGCTTGGTGATGAGATTATGGCCTGGCAGGGAGTCCCAGCATAGACAGATACCCAGCTATAAGGCCGCCCGCCCCAGTGCTGCCTGGAAGCAGCATAAGCCCTCTGCTATGACTAGTAGAGACGCAGGCCTTGCGACAGGATGGGGACAGCAAGGAGCCAGCGCCAGCATTTCCCTCCTCCCACCTGCAACAGAGATCCTGCAAGTGAGAGCTGGGCAGGGGTAATCAAACTGCCTAGCATGCAGGACAGCCTAGGGGGGTGGAGCCAGCTAGTACAGAGGCACCTGGACAACAGGAGGCCAAAGAGTGTCTTCAGGAGGCTGGCCTGGGTCTGGTTGAATAAGCAGCACCCCTGGCTCTGGGATGTCCCCTTTAGTACACCTTCACCAGACCCTCGCTCTCTGCTCTCCCTCCTCTCCCTTCCCCAAGGAATGGTGGAGCTCAACTCATTCCCAGCCAGTGGTCACTGCCACCCTATCCCAGTGGCTGCTCCAAGTCCTCCCCTCTCCCTGCAGCCCCAGCAGGCAGGCCAGGGTTCATGGCTGCAGCATATTTGATGCTGGAGTCCTGAACACTGCCAGGTTCACGTCCCTGCTGCCACCCAGCCCCCTCTGCTTCTCGAGCTTCAGCTTAGCCTGGCACCACAGCACAGAGCACAGGAAGGCAGAGTGAGCTGGGGCACAAGGGCTCAGAGAACACCTGGCTCACTTGGGTCTGCTGCTCAATTTTTTAAGCCCTCTAGATGGCCCTCAAGCCACCTGCTTCTGTGAACTCACCGGAGAGGGATCTTGACACGGAGGTAGCGGTCCACGGCAATGGCCAGCAGGGCCAGGATGGAGCTCTGGGTGAGGATCAAGACAGGGCAGGCCACCATGAGGCAGGTGTAGAAGTGGGTCTGTGGCCCAATGTTGATGAGGATGGCCAGTGGAATGACCAGGGCCCCCACCGCCACGTCAGCCACTGCCAGCGACACGATGAAGCAGAAGGTGGCGTCCCGTAGCGCCTGGTTCACCTTCACAGCCCAAATCACCAGCACGTTCCCAGGCACTGAGACCAGGGCGATGAGCACCTCGATGCCAATATAGGCGGCCTGGAAGGCCGAGATGGAGTGCGACATGGCGAGCACAGGCTGGGCACATCAGCAGACAGGCACCACGGGGCACGAGGAGGGCACCTGTGGTCAGGAAGCCTGGGGTAGGGAGGCCTGCCTGGAGAAGGAGGGAAGTCCAGGCAGCCCTGGGGAGATGTGCCCCACTTGGCACATCCAGTGCCTGCCAGATTGGCCAGGGCACCTGGGTCCTTCCCCTGCCTAACTGTCCCCTCCCCTTAGCAGCTCCAGAGGTTCCTTTCAGCAACTTAAAATAGCAGCACTCACTCCACCAGTGGCTTTGTATCAGGGGTGAGGCAGCTCCCAGCATAGGAACACCCCACAGGGGTCCCGCGCACCCGGCTCTGCCCACCCTGTGTCCACAGAACAGGATGCAGGGAGCTCACCATCCTGCCCGCTGGCCGGCAGGGGGTCCCAGAGGCGGTGCCCAAAGTTCCCAGCACGCGGTGCCGCCCAGAGTTCCGGGGCCGCGCCGGGCAGGGCTGGGCTCTGGGCACCGCGCGGCAGCTCATCGTCCTCCGGCTCCCGCCGCAGCGCTCCCAGCCCGGCCTTTCAAGCAATCACATGGTGCGGCAGAGGCTCAGCCCCGGTCGCTTTTAAAGAGGTAGCGCCCCAGTTCTGCACCTGGGACTGGGGTGGCAGGCGTGGGTCTGGGGGACTGAGCGCAGGCCCAGCGTGCATGCACGCCTGTCCTGCGCCCACCCACCTGAGACAGTGCAGGCGCCGGGTTCTCGCAGCCTCCTGGTTCCGCTCCAGCTCTGCGGGGAACCCTTGCCTGCCCCAAGGGGGCATTCCAGACGCTCCCTTCAACCCTCTCCTGCATCCCCCCTGGGGGCCCCGCGGGAACCTAGGTACAGACTTACCCAAGGTCACACCAAAGCTGGCACTGTTCCTGGCCACCTGAGCCGCCCTGTACCAGTGCCCCCGCACCTCGACGCCTTCATCTCTCGCTCCCCCCGGAGGTGCCTAGAGAATCCAGGGCTGCCCTGACAGGTCCGGGGTGATGGGGGTGGTAAGTGGCTAGGACTCAACTCCAGCGCCCGCTCCTCTGTCCGCTCCTCTGTCGCCCCAGGCGCGGGAGTAATGTGACAATCGGGCTCTGCACACCGGGAGGGGCAGGGATGGGGGCGGCGGCGGCACCGGCGGGCCCCTCCCTCCTCGCCCTCCGTCTCCTCCTCCACCCCCTCCTCTAGACAAAGGAAGTGATTCTGTGTGAAAAGAGCTGGGAAAAACGTGAGCTTTCTGAAGGTTCTGATGTGTGAATCCAGCGTCAGGACTAGACGAGGTGCAGCCTCGCAGTATCAGCTCCCTCCCTGCTCCGAGCAGCCGAGCCCTCCTTTGGTCTCCAGCTACCCTGCCACACCTTACATCACAGCGTCTCACCTGCGGGGCTCCAGAATGCACACCCCACACACCGCGCCCGACCTCCCACAGCCATCAGCTGGCACCCCTGGCACCCTGCTCTAATCCTAAAACCAGCTCCTCCCCAGGAAACTAGTGCCTGGCATTCTCAGGAACTCACACCCTTCCAACACTGTTACTTTGCAGGCTCTATCCTGAGTCATTACATTTCTTCCTCATCCATCTTTCACAATTGTCTTCCAGTCCAGTAGCAATTTCCATTTTGCAGATGAAATGCTGAGGCTCAATGCAGTGACCTAGCACGAGTGTTACCCCTTCTGGGGTCCTGTGCTTTCCTCCTCCTTCCTTATAGCACAGCAGCTATGCTGCAAGGTGTCAGGTCCAATCCCCCAGACAAAGAAGACAAAGAAGCAGAGACTTCAAAAGGTCACAGGATGAATTCTAAGGACCAGGGCAAGAAACCCAGGCTGCTGAGTCCTGGCACAGTGCTGGGCCCACAGCGCCCCTAGGCCTCCCCTGGCCACCTCCTGCAGCCTCTGCGAGTTGAGAATCCATCAGCACTAACTAATAAAAAAGGGTACCATGCAGAGATCTGAACCGGAGAAATCCTCATGTTTGGGTATTAGGAGAGGACCCTGTGAGTCATCTTGGGGACACCAGAACCCCACAGCCCCTTACTGAATTTCAGGATGCCAAGAGAGGGTTTCTGTCCAGAGGGGTGAGCAAGCTGCTTCTGCTGGGAGTTGGAGCAGGATCTCAGAGGAATGGGATGGCTGGAACCAGAGCTGCTGGGAGGTGTGGGGGGTACAGACGGCCAAATCTTCCAGGGATGAGGAAGAGAAAGCCCAGTGTAGGTTAAAGACAACTTGCATTTCTGCCTTCAGGGGGAGCAAGGAATCTGTGCCTCCAGGACAAACCTTGGGTCTCTCCCCAGAGGCTGCTGAGAGACAGGAGTGTAAACTCCCTGCCCCCCACCCCCGTCTCCCACTCCATGCCCCCCCCCACACAGACTCCCTCTGCGCCCCCACTCCATGCAAACTCAGGCCTTTGCATTGTCCAGTCCACTGCCTCCCATCCTGTTCCTGGCTCAAGTCCTTTGTGGCTCAAGCCTTTCTCTCTTAATTTTTAGCTTCTTGTCATTCACCCAGCTTTCAACAAACCCCACTAAGGGCCCCCAGCAGGCCCTCCTTGGGAGTGGGGTAGGCAGTTAAGGTCTCCCTTTCTAAACCCTCAGCAACACCTTCAGCTACAGAGGGTACCTGAGCCCCTACACCTGCCTTCCCTCCATACCCACCCACCCCCAGTTCTTACCACTGGTTGCTGACGTGTCGTAGATGTATTTGCATAATGCCTGTAGGTAATTTGTTTGTTCCTTGGTTGTGGGAAAAATAAGCCCAAACTCCCCTCTCTGATCCTAGCTGCCTGTTTCCAGGTCAGACCTTCTGGGGTTTAGACCAGCCTGTTGGAGGTCAGAGTTGACATGCAGGATCTTTCCCAGAGGGCAGCTCTGGGAAAGCAGTGTCTCCCAGGAGGGTCCGGGCAGAGCTGGGCGGAGGCATTGTTGGGGCTGGACAGAGCACTGGGCAACAGGGCCATTGGGTGTGGTGGAAGGAGCCCTTTATTGTGAGTCGGAAGGGCTGGAAACTGGTTTCTAAGTCCTGCTGTGTCATTCACTAGTTGTGTGGCCTCAGGCCAGTCACTTTTCCTCAGTTTATCCATCAATCAAGGGATGTTTGCCCTAAATCCACTCCAAGGTGGAAAAGCTGGCTGAGAAAGAGACCAAGGAGCTCAGTCTGTCTTCTTCCCAAAACTTCCAAGCCCTGACTCCCCCCCTGGAATAGACACCCTGGCTTCAGGGGAGGCTTACCAGAGAGGGAAAAGGAGAAGGAGACCAGAGTCTACCGCTGGGGTGGGACAGGACAACGTAGGAGGGCCAAGGGCAAACAGGTGGAACAAGAAGGCTGGGAATGACACAGAGCCCCCGGCTCTAGCTTCCTCTATTTATCCAGGACCCCCTCATTGGACCAGAGTCTGCTGACACTTTGCAGCCAGGTGGCCTTCATGCTTTGCCTGGCTCCAGCAGCTGATCCTTGGTGTTCTCATCTGCACAGTGGGCGTAGGAACATTGCCTCGTAGGATGCTTACAAGCTTTTAATGAGCAGCCTATGCGTTTCTCGCACAAATTTCCAGCACAAGCCAGGAGAGTGGGGCAGGAGAAAGAGGGCACAGGATTCAAAATTATGAAATCTGCTGTGCACAGCCAGTGGTGCTGAAGTTGGGATCAGATCCCACAGGTCCCAGGTTTAGGTGCCCAGTGAAGTTTGTACTATACATGTTACTGTGAAAGCAAGATTATGCCACAGTAAGTGTGAAGGCCCCCAGGGCCTTGTCCCTCCCCTTACCTTTGGGTCCTATTTCTTTCCTTCAGATGTTGCTGTGGCCATTTCTCTGCCGGCCAGTCACACCTGCAGTCTCTCTGCCATAGCCAGGGGTGGGTGGGGAGGAGAGGGCTGAAGTGGGAGCACTCTTGGGGGTGTCCTGTTAAGCCACCCTGTAGTTTCTCCTTTCTGAAGCTCTCTGAATTGCACTGGACTCCTCAGGTCAGGAAGAACCACCCAGGTTCACCACTCCTGTATCCCAAAACACACACACCAGCAATGAGAGCAAGAGATGGGGCTAGGCTCGGCTCCCAAGGGGGCTCAGGGACTGACAAAGATTTTAAGATTTTCCTCTGGCAGTGTGGTGAGGCACACCTGTAATTGCAGCACTATGGGAGGTTGAGGTAGGAGGACTGCAAGTTCCAGCCCAGTTGAGACAATTTAATGAGACCTAGTCTCAAAATTTTTAAAAAATGTAGAGAGCTGGGGATGTAACTCGGTACAGAGGATCTGGTTTGATCCCCAGTACTAAAACAAAACAAAATTCTTCTGAGGTCTGGGGACACCGCTGAGTGGAAAAGCTTGCCTAGCACTCAAGAAGCCCCGAGGTTCATATCCAACACTGCCGCACAGCTTCTGCCCCATTCCTGTCCAGCAGGCAGGGGATATTTTATCTTTGTCTCATTCTGCCGTTGCTTGGTGCAGTGTGTGCGCAAGAAAAGAACTGTAGAGTCAGAATGTGCAATTGGGACAAAAAGATTTCTGGGTGTCTGGGAAGCCTGCGCCCCTCCCCATGGCCCTCCTGGAGTTCCCTCCCTCTCCTTTCCCACCGGCCACCTCCCTCAGACCTGCAGTCCAGGTCTTTGGCCTCCCGCTTTCCCTCTGCTCATCCAGCTGCCTTCTCTCAGGTCAGGGAGAGGCCACGTTGAGCCCAGGGGCGTGTGTTTGTGTTCCTGCTGGGCAGAGGAGATGCGCGATAAGTGGGCCATTTAATCCTGGTCCCCGCAGACGGCGTGAACTGTACCTAATTCCTGAAGAAGTTTGTTGCTGTCATTTGTTCTTGACCTCATCATCGTCCCCATCATCCATCAGTCATTCTACTCAACAGACATTTTTTGAGCCCCTTTCGGGTATGAGTGGGCTGAGATCTAGAGATAAGAAAGCCGTAGTCTCCTCTGAAGTCTCCAGAAAGAGTTCACCATCAGGTAGAGGACCCAGGGGATACAGTGACTGCAGCTTGTCCTGTGAGGATCAGGACATGCCAGCGACTGCTAACCTAGTCTTTCCCACATCCAGAAGGATGTGCTTCCTCCAGCCAACCTCACAGTGGGCGAACAGCAGCCCTCTCACCTGGAGGTTGGGTTACAGAGGACCGCAAGATGCCACAGGGCTCCACAAAGGAGCCTCAGGGCTGCAGAGGTCTGGCCAGAGGGTCAGGTCTTGGCAGCTCAGGGAGCCACCGTGCCTCGGGCAGAGCACTCTGCTTTGATTTATTTCACATATGGGTTCCTGGTCCGAGAATTCATGGGCGCGTGGATTGTATTTGCTACGTAGCTTTAACAAAAACTTGACACTTCAAGCTTCAACCAAACTCCTTCAGCTAAGAGAACTGAGATCCAGGAAGGAAATAAGTTTGGCCCAATTCCCACCTCCCCATCATGAGCCTGGGTCAGAGCAGGGGCTAGGCAGGTGATGAGTGAGCTGGCCCAGGCTCTTGTCCTGACAGTAGCTCGGGGAATCCCCCAGGACCAGGCCTTCACACTCAGAACTTGGTTAGATGAGAGAGCTTGGCTTTCATGTTGTCTCTCTCACAGGGAGAGAGGCCAGCTGCACACTCATCCCAGGAGGAGCAGGAGCCAGGATCAGGTGGGCACAAAAATGCCCCTCCCAGTTGCCTGGCAGTTTGGCATTTATGAAGAAACTCCTGGAACAGCATTCCACAGAAAACCTGTGTTACTAATTCCTAACAATAAAGGAGGAGCCGGAGCTGGGACAGCTGGGACAGGAGGAGCTCAAGGGTAGCCACGTGATAGGGTTGACACGGGAACCCAGGTCACCAGAGGCCTGCCCCAGATGTGACATTGGAACTGTGGAGCCAGTTGGTCTGCAAGGGCTTCTGGGAGGAGAGGATCTCAGGCACTTTACACCTGGTCACTTTATACCTGGTACTGAAAGAGGACTTACCATGAAGATGGAAAATTTCTGGAAAATATGCTATGTATACACAATGGAGTACTATGCTGCCATAAAGAAAGATGAACTTAAGCATTCATAGGTAAATGGGTGCAACTTGAGAACATAATGTTAAATGAAATGTTAGACTTACAAGCTCAAATACCCTATAGTTTCTCTTATATGAGAAAAGCAAAAGTAGAAAAGAGATAAATAGAAAATAGGGAGAAGTTCAAATACTTCTCCAAATTACAAATCCCATTATTTTAAAAATATTGCAATATATATGCTAATTGGTTTCATTTTTACTAGTTTATCCTACTTCCTTAAAAAGAAAGTTTTATCTGTTATCTGTTACAGTGTTATCTGTCTCTTTTTTCTAAGAATTTTTTTTGGTTTATGTCTTATATTCTGAGTAACTACTTGAAGACAACAAT